TGCCTTTGCTGACCCGGACATCTATATTAAAACATAGTCATAGATGTTATTTTTATGAAACTGTTCATAGAAAGCCAACTTGGGGCCTACACCTGGCTAACCATTCTTTTAAAAAGTGGAGGACATGGGAAATGGAGATAATGAAGAATGTTTACAAAATTCTATGGTTACAATAAGAAAAGCTCTCTTGGCACATTGAGAAAGCTTGCCAAAAAAAACCAGCAAGCCTCCATGATTGTTCATTACTCCAATGTAAGAAAGAATCAAGCAGCACTTTTTGCTGTTCTTGAGCTTTGCATAATTTGGACAGAAATGTCTCTGTGTAAGGCAACTATCTTTTTTCTTCATGAAGCAAACAACAAGCCCTGAAGAACAAGCCTGCCTCATTTTTTTTTTTAAGTTCATACAAGGCACCAGGCACTGCACTCTTACACAATTGTACAGCTTACATAAAAATCATTCTCAGAAATGTAAGAGGTCTCCATCAGAAAGTACAGAAAGTATTTTTTTTTTCTATCTTATGGGAGGTGGCAATGGTTTTTCATTTTTACAGGTAAAAACAAGGCAAACAAAAATGTACATTCCTAGGAGGATATTGGATTTCTTAAAATTAATAACCAAATAAATAAAAGAGTGTATACAAAAAAGCTTTAGCACTGAGCCCAACAATGCTACTTTCCTAGTTTGAACTGGGAACACCATTCACTATTCCTTTAAACAGAACACAAGCATAAATACATTTAATATTTAGCCCTAAATTTTATCATTAAGTCTTCGCCTAGCAGTAATTCTATTGAATTCCTTTTTTTTTTTTTTTTTAAGGGCATGGCTCCATCATATGAATCTGGAGACCCAGGACTTGAAAACATAGGTGTGTTATGAATCATATAAAGGAAGTTGCATTTAACTCATAGATGAGATCGGTGGTGAAAAAACAGAGCTAGGAAAAACACTAAGAACTGTAGTAAATCTTGTATGGGTGGATATCAAGTTGTCTCATGAAGACGTGGAGAGGGCTACTGTAATACATTTAAAAGCTTCATGGAGGATAAAAT